CGCAGCCCCTTCGCGATGCATCTAATACGTGATTATATTAGCGGCAAAGACATTACGTTCATATATTTGTAGATTTTTAGATTATTACTACCGTAGGTCATGGTCCCCACCCTTTCTAACTGTTGTCGCCACTGCGGTATACCAAACGCTGCTTCATAACTTCGGATCCTGATGCTTATATAGCTTTCAAGCATCACTGGCCTAGTGCCCAGCGGGGAGGGGAGGGGAGGGGGGGAAGGACCCTAAGTCGATCTACGGTACATGATATGCAGCAAGCTGCAACGGAGTAAATGTCCAATAAATTTCCCCAAAGTTATGATTATTGTATACTATTGGCCTATACTTTCTTCCAATACTTTGTCGTGTGGGACTTCTGAGAAAGTTTCCCATGCATGACCAGGTGTAGCAGAACTCTTTCCTAACATAATTTCTATTCTATTCATAAACTACCGAATAGAACTTCAAGTATTTTGAGATCTGCTGAGGCCAGTACTACCGCACCATAAATCTTCATAACAGAGTTCGGCATCATCTCTCGCAGACCGAGAGAATGCGGCGGCTAAATGGCGGAGCCATAAAGGCTACTCGGAACATAGCCTCTCAATCCCGGTCTCGGAAACCCCCCCAGTGACCCGAGGTACAAAACCCCAGCACTTCCGAGACAACGCCCTGTTAAGCTCCCCTCTCACTTCTTCCACAATAACTCCAATCAAAGCAAAACAACATACACCCTCATTCAAAATCACAATAAACTCAAATCACAATGTCCTTCCCCTCCATAGCCCGCCATTCCACTCGTTCCCGCCTCCGCCCCCAATCCCTCCCTCCGCAACTGACCCGCGCATTTTCCAACCGCCCAGCCCTCCGTACCTCCGCATCCGCATCCACCATCGCAACATCCTTCCTCACACGCTTCCAATCCCTCGGCCCACAAACCCGCTCCCAAACCCTCGACGCGAACCAACTCCAACTCCTCTCCCTAACACTCAACCGACCCTCTCTATTCCCCAACTCCCCACCCCTATCTAATACCCCGACCGCCCTGCCCACCGGCACGCCCTTACCCGCCGGCTACCACCTCGTGTACTTCACCCCCGCATTTCTAGAAAATGAGCTCGGCGCAGACGGCACCGACACCTCGTATAACCCTGCGTCGCCGTTCACGCGCCGCATGTGGGCTGGCGGGGAGGTGCATTGGCCGAGGGGGAAAGATGGGAAGCCGAATTATCTGAGGGTGGGGCAGGAGGTGCAGGAGACCACGAGGGTGCTGAGTGCGGAGCCGAAGGTTGTGAGGAAGACCGGGGAGGAGATGATTGTTGTGGGGGTGGAGAAGGAGTTTAGGAATGAGGATGGGGTGGCGGTTTTGGACAGGAGGTGAGTAGGAATTGTGTTTTGTGAAGTTGGGGATGGTGCTGATAATAATGTATACAGGAACTGGGTCTTCCGCAAAGCTCTAACCTCGCCGTCGCCTACGAGTTCATCTACGCCTCCAGCGACGAAGGCGTTCAACGGCCCGGCTAGTTCGTCTACGGTGACGAGTGACAATGTGTATTCGCGCACGCTGCGCCAAACGGCTGTGACATTGTTCCGGTTCTCCGCGTTGACGTTCAACCCGCACAAGATTCATTATTCGACGCCGTGGGCGAGAGATGTCGAGGGACATAAGGATATTGTTGTGCATGGGCCGTTGAATCTCATTTCCATTCTGGATTTGTGGCGCGATACGAGGAAGAATGAAGGTGGGGAGTTGGTTCTTCCGGAGAAGATCTCGTACAGGGCGACCAGTCCGTTGTATGCGGAGGAGGAGTATCGGATTGTGTTGGAGGATGGAGGAGATGGAGTTGGGAAGGTGCAGATTGTTGCGCCGGGGGAGGTGGTGGCTATGAAGGCGGAGATTCAGTAGATACTATAGTCTGAGAGTAGTTATGTAGATATTTGTTTTGTTTGGCTGCTGAGAGTCGATATACTGTGATTACTATAGCTATGTGTAGATGATGTTACACGAGAATACTATGTAAATGAAGCACCCCAAAATAGAATCATAGCAATCATACACTGTATGTACTATTCTTCTAAACAGGTACCGAAACTTGACTTCTTTATTAAGTTGTCTGCTCCACTCCACCCCAAAGTAGGGTTCGGGCTTAAGCTCCGGAGATAACCACACCACCCCCCATCCTTATCGCCATCGCGGCAGCCTCCACTCCACTTCAATTACACTCGAACTCAACTTCACATTCACTATCTAATTACCACAGATACCCCACGCTCCACACATCCCTCCTTATACTTGGAACATAGTAGACCCACCAGATACTCCACTGTCCAACGACATATACGGGAGTCAAACGGACATGGAAAAGAAACGCACCCGCGTGCAACTCTCCTGCACAGCCTGCCGAGCCCGCAAGTAAGCACGCGGCGGCCCCTCCAATCCCACATTACTCACTCTACCTCCAGCGATCAACACCTACTATTCCATGTATAACGCATACCAATAACAATAATTTATGCAATAGGTTAAAGTGCTGCCGCACGCACCCCTGCACAAACTGCCTGAAACGCGACGAAGCCGGCACCTGCACCTTCATCGGGCGCGGCCCGCGCAGCAAGACCTCGAGTAATGGACGGACCAGCCCGACGCAAGTACAGGATCGGTTGCAGCACTTGGAGAATTTGATTCTGTCTTTTACGCAGCAGCAGCAACAGCAGCAGCAACAGGAGAGGTCAAATAGTGTGGGTGAACACCAACAGGTGGTTAAGAATGGTGGTCAGATTACGCCGGCATCGTCGGTGCCATCGTCATTGGCATTTGGGGAGGTACAGCAAGCGCAGGAGGGGGAATCGGAAACTCCGCCTCCTGATCCCGGGAGGTTGGTGGTTAGGGAGACGGGCATGAGGTATATTGATGGGGCGCATTGGAGTGCGATTCTAGAGGAGGTGAGGCTGTTCTTTTGCTTGATCAAGCTAGGCGAGGCTGATTATGATATGCAGATAAGTGGGGTCAAGGAGTATCTAAGGGATAATGAGGAGATGGGATTGTCGGATGAGGAAGTGGAAGACGAGGAGATGGTGAGGCCGTCGAATGCGCCAACGCTATTACTTGGGCTGCACCAGGAAATGACCATGGACGAGCTTTTGGACGGGTTGCCGGCTCGGCCGGTCGTGGATCGCGTCGTGGCTATGTTTGTCGGCCTTATGGAGCCGACGACAGGTAGGTGTCGCTGTTGTATCAGTCCTTGATAGGTGATGCTGATGGAATTAGTGATGTTGCACTTTCCTACTTTCCAGAAACAGGTATGCTAGCTCAATTGAGTGGGAGATGCAAAGGATGCTGACGTGCGCAGTATAACCAATTCTGGCAAAGACCTAAGGAAGTTTCCATTTCTTGGCTGGCACTGCTGTACGCGGTTCTCACAATAACAATGTCCGTGTATATGCGCACCGGGGAGCCACTACCGGCAGAATTCGGGGAAGCAGATGAAGCCGTTCAGCGTCTCAGGCAATTGACCGCGCAGTGTCTAGTTCAGTCAAACTACACCGTTCCGGGGCGTTTCAAAGTGGAGGCTCTGTTTTTCTACACAATGTGCGAATTCTTCCGCAGCGAGGATGCCCAAGTCGGAGTATCTTTTCTGCTGAACATGTCAATTCGACTTGCTATGCGTTCAGGGTACCACCGGGATCCGCAACACTTTCCGAATATCTCACCATACGAAGGCGAGATGAGGCGGCGGGTCTGGGCTATCATGCGTCAACTGGATGTTTTGATCTCGTTCCAGGTTGGGGTCCCGCGGGGTATACAGGACTGGCAGCAGGACGTGGAGCTACCGCGTAACATCTCTGATGAGGAATTCGGGGAGTCTATCGTCGAACTGCCGCCATCTCGACCCGAGACTGAACTCAGTACAACTGCATATATCCGCGGAAAGTCACGACTTATGGCCGTATTTGGGAAGATCTCTGATTTAGCGTACTCGCGCGATCCTATGACATATGATGACATACTGGCCCTGGACCGACAGCTGGAGGAAGCTCGGGACCTTGTGCCCACTGCATTCAAGATACGCCCACTTGACCAGTGCTTCGTGGATCCATCATACCTGATCCTGAGACGATACACATTGGAACTTTTGTACCAGAAGGCCCGCTGTGTGCTGCACCGGCGCTACCTGGGCGAGGTGCATACCAATCCCCGCTATGCCTACTCGCGTCAGGTTTGTATGAGTGCTTCCAAGGAGATCCTCCGTCACCAGGCGGATATCTACCACGAGACTCAGCCGGGTGGACTTCTTTACCGCGACCGACAATTCCCGAACTCACTTCAGACCGCAGATTATTTGCTTGCCGCGATGATCATCTGTCTGGATCTGTCGCAGAACCCTACCGGCACACCGACGGGAAGCACGGACGAGGACGTAGCGGCAGTCATCCGGAGCCGGGAGGAACTGCTAGCGACCATTAAAACGTCACATCGGATATTTGAGCAGCAGCGTAGGCGATCGGCAGATGCACAGAAGGGATATGTGGCACTGACAATCATGCTGCGGCGAATTAATTTCCAGCAACAGGAAAGCCAACAATTGACTTCCGGTAAGTGGCACGGGATAATCCGAAGTACATTGCTAATGAGTGCAGCACAACCACCACTATACGGAAGTTGGAATGGGCAGCCATACTCAGTTGGAGTGGATCCAATGGGGATTACCCCAGAGTATCAGTCACTAGATGTGATCGGAGAGATGCTTGATGCGCCCACCAATCTTGACTGGGTAAGTGAGCCGCTGCAACTAATATTTGAAACTGGCTAACAGGCGTAGAATCTCTGGGACCAGCAGATGCAAAGTGCCGCCAATGCGGATGTGGGGTTATGGGGGGATAATATACCAGAAGCTGTAAACATATAGAAAGGGAAGGAATTGTAGTAGACCACAGCGGAAGTGTCAACCGGGAGGAACCCGAGATAAGCTCGGGGGCGGAGATCCGCTCGGAAGCCGACAAAAAGTCCACCCAAAGTTGAACCACCATTCTACCCTCTACCCAGACCAACTACTGATATACTCCAATTCCACCACCACATTGCACTACACACTACACATCCACAATGATGCGACCACCGATACCACGCAGCCTCTACAACCGGGTCTCTCTCCCACGAGCAGCCCATCGCTCCCTCTCCACATCAACCTTCTCCAACCACCTCTCTCACCACTCAACAAATAAGATCAACAACCTACGAACCACCAGACCAAGAATCTCAAACTCTTCGACCACCTCACTCTCCCAATTAACAATCCAAAAACGTCCCTTCCTTTCCTCCTTCCTCCCCAACTCCGACTCCGCCTCCAAAACCCGCCACCTCACCGCGACCCGAACGCTCCCACACGCCCCCGCTCCTCTCTTCGACATCATCTCCTCCGTCGAATCCTACTCCTCCTTTCTCCCCTTCCTAACCGCCTCAACCGTCACCCACCGTGACCCAACAACCAACTACCCGACCCGCGCCTTCCTCACCGTCGGCTACGGGCCCCTCAGCGAAACCTTCACCTCCAAGGTGACCTGCGACGCGGAGAACTGGGTCGTGGAGGCGCAAAGCGGCGCCAAGTACGGCGTGGGCAAGAAAGACGGACAGGGGTTTCCGGGTGAGGATGAGGGGCTCTTTGAGTACTTGAGTACACGGTGGGAGTTGCAGAGTCAGGGTGAGGGTAAGGGGACGGTGGTGAAGCTGGATATTCGGTTTGAGTTCCGCAGTCAGCTGCATGCTGCTATGATGGGCGCCGTGGAGGGACAGATGGCTGGTGTTATGGTCGAGGCTTTTGAGAAGAGGATTTATGATGTGTTGGGGAAGGCTTGAGCTGTCTTTTCATTCTTTTGTGGATCTATTGTTGATGCATGAGGTGGACAGGATGTATTATAATATTGTTGTGAAGGGAAAGGAAAGGGATATGATACACATCAGTGCATACATAGAATATGGAATAGAAGCTACACATTGTATAATACAGTTTATCACATGAACAAAAAAGAAATGACCGGAGAAGAGAATAAATCACAGCATGCTCAAGTTCCGTCCAGCATTAGCCGCATTGCCCTTAACCGGCCCAACCGCATTGTAGTTGTCGAACACCACCTCCCAGTTAATCCGATCCCACCAGCGCTCCAAGTACTCCGCCTTACCACCAATGCCGTAGTCCATCATCCACACATGCTCCCATGTGTTCACACACAGAATAGGCTGCACGTCCAGAGCACCCGGCGCCATGTTCTTCTGGTTAGCCGCGTGCGCACCCATCGCGCCAGCGTACTGGTTGCCCAGCGGTGCGTCCGGCGAGTGTGTCGCCATATCGACCGGTTGCCTCCGCGCATGAGCCGCCGGGTAGGGCGAGCCAGCGTTATACGTGCAGAAGATGTGCATCAGACCCTCCCGCTCCAGGTTCTTGGCCAGCCAGACGAAACCGGGGCCGAACATGGCGTTGGCGGTGGCCAGGAAATCGAGTTTCAGGGATTCGATCGAGGAGCAGGTGTCGACGATATCTTTGGCGAACTTTTCGGGGATCTGAGTTTGTTGGGGGGACTAGCACAGGTGTGTTAGAAGCTGGGCCTGACACGACTGGACCTTGGTACCACTCACCAGGCAGTTGAAGAAGAAGTGGTTGTTGTGGGCCATCGAGGCATAGTTGAACACGGACGCCATCTCCGGTCGGCGGGAGTACTTGACCAGCAGTTCTCCGGGCTTTGCGTCGGCGTCGACGGTGTCTGTTGCAGTGGAAAGACGATGGTGTCAGTTTCATACCAGCGGAGTTTGAGCTGCACTGCAAGGAAACTAACCCTGCGTCATCAGGTTCAGCTTGTCAATGAGCAGACCCTGGTATTGCGTCCAGGCGAAGTCGAACGCCTCGGGCGATAGCAGCTCCGGAATGCCATTGTTCTTGAAGTACTGGTCGTTGGTTAATTGGGGCACGCGGTGCAGGCTCCGGATCTGAAAGCGTGGGAGCGCGGAGACGGGCTTCTGGCGGAGGTCAGGTTGGTTAGCTATGAGCCCACCCCGGGCATTGGGATGGGGTCAGCTCACCTGGGAGAAGGCGGAGGCAGCACGCAGCGCGGACTGCGGCCGGAAGAGGCGGTTCAACATGATGATGGGGGATTGGACAGGCAACAAGATGGCGAGCAACAAGCGGTTGATTTCAGGACCACCGCAGAATTTCCCGTTCGGCCTTCAGAACTCACCTCTTTCGGGTCTAGCGCCGGTTAGGTAAGCGGGCGCCAGCTCGGCCAATCAAAATGCTGCGATTTACTTCGGCAGCATTTCAGCCATCATGATCTTCTTCCTCTGGCTTCTTCATCGCTCAACTTGCTCTACGCGCCGGGCTCTGCAGGAGATCTGGTCGGGTTTGGAATGCCATGGCCTGTTGTTGATCTTCGCCTTCCCGTGGCTCCTCCCGGCGCCTATCTCAACCACCCTCATTAGCCCTCGAACCATGCGCCCCATCCGCTGTGCTATTCTGAGACTCGGCGCCTGCAGCTGTGGATGTTTGTATCATGATGCTGCAGAATGTCGGGCAGCAGATAGCGCTGGGTGGTTAGGATGGGCGCTTCCTGGTCATCGTTGGGGGTTGAAGGCAAATGCCTTTGTAAGTCGCTCATTGTTCTTTCATCCTTTCTTTCACTCATTGACACTGTTGCAAAGTTCTTGTCTCATACTTTCTTTCATAGACAGCTTTCCTCGCTTAGCCAAAGTCTACGCAAGCCTATATTTGATTTTCTTCATCTCATCTATCTATTGTATTGGATTAGAGTCAGATCGCAATGACAAGGCCACAGCTTTGTTCCCTCATGAGACGGCCCTCCATGATACTGCTCCTCGCCCTCATTGCTTCGACGGTATCGCCAACGCAGGCCTTTGGCTTACTGCTACGAAGCTCCGACTCGTGTCCAAGCAACTATAACAAGTGTGCAGACAGCAATTTGCCGGATGATTTCTGCTGCTCTAGCTCGTCAACATGCATCAGCCTGGACAACTCCAGCTCTGCTATCTGCTGTCCAAGCGGACAGAGCTGTGACTACATCGAAACAATAACCTGCGATGTGCAGCTCCAGAACGCAACAGCACATCCCAAGAACTCTGTCAAGACAACGCGGCTGGATGATTCCCTCCCCAAATGTGGTGACAAATGCTGTCCATTTGGCTACACCTGCACAGGAGACTCGCTATGTGCCATGAACACGTCCAGTGCATCCACCCTTAGTGCCAGCCAGTCATCCACAACTTCCACAACAGGGACCACATCCTCCACAGGAGCCATCACCTCCTTCACAACCTCCGCCTCTACAACCGATGCCTCAAACCCCACCATCGTCCCCGTCACGACTGGCTCCTCCAAGACTGCCATCTCTGACAACAACGGCAGCAGCGCCAACGGCACCTCCTCAGCAGCCGCACTATCCTCCAAAGCCACCTGCCCATCCTACCCAACGAACGCCATCATAGCAGGCTTCTTCCCCGGGGCCATCTTCGGCGCTGTCCTAGCCCTTCTAGCCGTCTTCCTCTACCGCAAACACCAGCAGAAACACCAACCCCCCTCAGCCAAAGTAGCCCAATTCACGCGCCGCTCCTCGAAAGGCACCCTCATCGGCATCTCCTCCCCAATCCCCTCCGACGAGACCTCCTACCGAACGGACTTCCTCCTCCGCCGTAACCGCAACACAAAGCGATACTCCGAAGGCGCTCGCTCACGCATCCAACGCACCGGGACCCGAGTCCGGAGTCTCTTCAACCCTAACAATGCTCCTCCCCTACCGAAGGCCAATCCCGCAAAGACCCTCGTCCCAGAACACGGCGGAGGAGCGATGCACGCTCGTGTACCAGTGCCTGTTCCCCCGCTACCCATCTCCGTAACGCCGTTGCAACCTGGACGGACGCCTTCGAAGAAGACACTGGCCCGTACGGAGAGCATTAGGGTGTATACACCGCCAGGCGTGTTTGCTACAACGGGTGTGTTGAAACCGGAACCGTATCCAACGCATATAAGAACGGAGGGGACGTTTGATGATATGGAGAAGTGATATAATACTGTGTTTGTCTTTTAAATGTCTCGAGATGCGTCGTATTCATGTTGTTCTATGTGATTTGATAAAGTAATGAGGTGGTACATTGTATTCAGTATGTTCTTAAGAAGTCTTTGAGATACCTTATAGCTAGTTAGTTACTCATATTCGAAATTCCGCAATAAATATCTTTCAATGAATCTAAGAATGTAATATACTATACATACACGAAACCAAACACATCCACTAAAACGGGGTAATTGCCTTCACCCCCTCCTCCTCTCCTTCCAAGCACTCACTACTTTCTTCACCTCCTTCAGTAGACCCACAATAAGCGGTACTCCCACGGGCCCCAACAGGGGCAAATACACCGCCACCTTATGCTCATCGGGGAAATACATCTGCCCGACCATACTCTTCTCGAAGAAGCTGCGCTCGGCCTCGCCCTCCGCGACACGGGCACTTGCCAGGGCGGCCTGGAACTGGCCGTGTCGGAGATGGTCGCACGCGGAAGAAAGATGAGAGAGCGTAGTAGAGACTGAGGTAGCCACTGTAGCGGGGATAGGGATCTGGGGGAGGGATTCGGTGAGACGGGCGAGGGAGCCCATGGTTGAGGAGGCGGAGAGGAGGAGAGAGGCCGCGCGGACGCGGGTGAGGGTTTGGAGACGGAGGGGAAGAGGCGGAGGGGTGGAGGGGGTGCCGAGGAGGGTGAGAAGTTGGTGGGAGAAGGTCATGAAGGCCGGGCCGAGGGTTTCTTTGGTGAGGTGAGTTGGGTGGTTAGGAGGGTTGAGGAGGAAGACGCCGCCCCATTGGGGGATGATCCAGCTGGTTGCGAGGCTGTCTTTGACGACGAGGGGGGATTGTGAGGGGGACGGGATGTAGAGGATGAAGTTGATGGTTGGGCCCGGGCCGATGCTGGGGCTGAGGGGCCATTCGGCGGCGTTGATGAAGGCGCTGAGGTCATCTTTTTTGAGGGTCCAGGCGGAGTGAGTTTCGTCGTATTCCGGGGGTGGTGCGGTTGGGGAAGAGGTTGCGTAGAGTTGGACTTGGGTGTCGACGGTGAAATTGCTGATAGGGGAGAAGGCGTCGAGGACTGGGGTGATGTAGTCGTGCACGGCGGCTTGGATGTCCCAGGAGGAAGGGGTGGCGCCGGGGGTGAACAAACTGAAGGCGAGGTGATAGGTGTCGGCGTATTTCATGGAGCGGCGGAGACGGCGAGTGACGCTCTCTGCGAGGTCCGGGGAAGTGGGTGCGCCGGGGATGTTGTTGTCGGAGAGTACCTGGGCGATGATGGCTTTCTCTTCGGCGAAGAGAAGCTGGAGCTCGTCTGCAATGAAGGTGGATAGGGGCGAGTTGGACGCCGATGGGGGTGGGATTTGGCTGGGAGGATAGAAGACGTCGAGCTGAGTGGTATCATGGTGGAGAGCTGCTCGAGGGCTGGCGAGGTCGTCCTGGGGCAGTAGACGGACGGTCAATGCGGTGTCCGCGGCGTCGGCGGCGGGGGGCTGATCGGGGTCTTCGTTGGAGAGCTTCAGTCGCAGATGGTGCGCGGAGAACTCATTGAGGTCGTCGAGCGTGTGCTGCGTAGAGCGGAGGAGATTCTGAGCGTCGACGTCGGGCAGGGAGGGGGTCTCGACGCGGATCTCGAGGGGGAAGACAGGACGACAAGTCTGGTATTGGTGTTCTGGTTAGCAAGGTTGTGAGCAGTAGAAGGTGAAATTACCTTTCCATCAGCCCAATCAATCATCTCCGGGACCGGCAGGGAAGCGCGATAGATCGAGGTGGTCTTCCACCAGATGGGAAAGCCCAGGAAGATGATCACAGCCCAGAAGGCCGCAATGACCTTGAAGCGGGTGCGGATGGCTTCTGGCTTCTCGGGCGGCGGCAGACGCGGCGTAGGGGTTGTGGTAGTCATTGTGTGGTCAGAGACAGTCTGGGGAGACGTCTGGGGATCATTCTTGGCCGTCATGGCCACATGCTTGAGAGAGGGTGGTGGATGGAGAGTTGGAGATGGATTGGAGATGGAGTTGAGATGCGGCAGCCAAGGCGGAGTAGCCCCGCCAGTTGGCCGATCCTCTTAATTCTGCTAACTACCACTACGATTATGCCTGGAGATAGGAAACAGTCTAACAGCATACCAATAATTCCATATTATCTATCCTGCAAATTCACTTGGGGTATCTAACCAATGCGCCATCCTAAAACAACAAGACAATCCCACTAATACTCCTTTTCGAATAACTTCTGAATCGGTTTGGCCGCCTACACCCGTTAGTAGAGTCCAGCACACAGGAACACAGTGTAACCTACGTCAATAAACCGCTCCAGATCCTGATCCAAGCTGGCCAAGTCCTCCTTGCGCTTGTTGTTCTCCGCAATCAATGCTTGCTTGCGCTTCAGCAGCTCCTGTCGGGCCTGTTCCAGCTTCTCCCGTTCCGCGTGTTCGTGGTTGATGCGAGCGATCATCAATTCGTGTTCATCGGACTGTTGGTGCTCGGGATGCAGAGCCAGAAACTCTTCGAGAGGGATCAAGGGGAGGGAGCGATATTTGTGACTATTCTGGTTAGCATCTCCCCCACCATATATTGTCATTGAAGACCACCTACTCGTAGGACTCGCAGGCGGCAATCTCGCCTGTCAAATGTCGCTGTTCATAATACAAGTTCTGAAGCTGAAGATGGAGACGGTCAATCTCCTGGCGGGCCTCTGCAGTAGACTGCTTGGTCTCGCGCACCCGCACGATCGCATCCCGGTTCTGCCCCCGCAGACGAGCCAGAAGAGCAAACAATTGTTTCTGCTCGCGAGAGGCTGCCAGAGCACGCTCTTGGGGGTCATCGGACAGATCAGCCGTGGGGTCGAGGACGGCCAGCAGTTTCATGCATTGATCGCGAGTCTCGGCGCTGAGCCCGAGCACGGGCAGCAGCGAGGGATTGGCGACGATATCCCGGATGGCCATGGCGGGTTATCACAGGATGGATAAATCCGACGGAAAGGCGGAGACGATAGAAGGATAATTTAGTGGAAGAGAGTAGACTGTTTGTTGGTTCGGAGGTGGCTGGTGGCAAGGAAATCAACGCCAACGTGGAGCAGCTGCGGTCGCTGATGGGCTGAACGATAAGGTAGGGTTTATGACAGTAGCCACTGAAAGGTTGGGATGAAGACTGAATGGCGCGTAGACTCAATGAAGTTGAAGGACCGGGCGGAAATGAAAAAGGCCGTTTCAAGCGCCAGTTCAGTGAGTGGTCGATGATTCGGAGACGAAGCAGCCGGAACTAATCTTTTGGATCCTCCCCACTTCATTGGATTCTGTCTCTCTCTCCTCTTTCTCTTTCTTTAGTCCTTCTCCTTCTCCTCTTTCTGACTTCTCCTTTCACCCTCGCCCTTTCTAACTGTACTGGCTGCTGTTGGATTGCCCTCTCCTCTCTTTCGTCTCTCCTTAATTTCTCTCTCCTCTCCTCTCCTTGCATATTTATTAGTTTTCTCTTCTTGTACGTATTTTGGTACTCGTTTTCTCCGCCTCTCCCGGTTCTCCCGATCTTCCCCACCCAAAACAACATCCTTTCGCTGTCTGCCCAACCACCACTAACTCTTACACCCTCTCCAGGATATGTGGAATTGACTTCTACGCTGTGGTTTTAACTGTCACTGTACGCCATGGCCTGCTCATCTCAATCTGTCACCATTGAGTCTTATCCGGAGGCCGCGGTGGCCTCCGCCTATGCCACCCCCGGAGAAGACACCGGCCTCCTGAGAGATCGCCGTCGCAGACACTCCTTTCATACGGCTCGCAAGTTGTCCTGCGACTACGATGCGGATGCTGTTTTCCTACGGGTACGCTGCTTCCTTGGTTCCACCATCAATACTGTCCCTGACTGACCTCTCCGTAGGTGGAGCTCTTCCTGGCCGAACTCGAACGACGCCTCCACTGGCTCGAGCAATACCGCAAGTCCCACATGGATCAGATCGACGCCAGTCTCCGCCGTGGATACGCCACCTTAGAAGCCGTGCGAGATTCCTGCTCCTATGCCTCCGGGGAGCTGATGGGTGGTGGAAAAAAGCGGGCCAAGATTTTGGTCGAGACGCTGGAGGACCGCTACATGGATGCTCTCGCAACAAAGGAGACGCTTGAACAAAAGGCTCAGGCGGGAGTCCGACTGATGGAGTCGTTTCTGGTCGAGCTGGAGTCCCGCGCCCATGCGGTCCGCGACCGGGGGCTCTACGGCACTCTAGATGATGGCTGGAAGGCAATGGACTCGAAGCTGGTGCATGCCCGTGAGGTGGTCGACGAGGGTATGGAACGGGCACGACGGGCGAAAGACGCGCTGCGGGAGAGCATCGACCGAGCTATCCTGCTGGCCCAGGAGCAACGGTTGATCACGTATGCGGATCTCCCGCACCCGTGGCGGGTGAACCCGCATATCCTGCAGGGGTATCGGTTCACACACTCCAAGGTGGAATGTTTGACTTCGGTGTTCACCCCTTCGAATGAGACGTTCAACATCTGGTCTCACCTGATTGGGCTTTTCATCGTCCTGTCGGTGGCCTTTTACTTCTACCCGCTGAATCCCAACTTCCACCTCAGCTCGCGAACGGACATTCTCGTGGCGGCCGTCTTCTTCTTCGCGGCGTGCAAGTGCCTGGTCTGCAGCACACTGTGGCACACGATGAACAGCATTGCCAGCCAGACGCTGATGGAGCGGTTTGCCTGTGTGGACTACACAGGAATCTCGATGCTGGTGGCAGCCTCGATCGTGACGACCGAGTACACGGCTTTCTACTGCGAGCCGGTCTCACGGTGGACTTATATCCTGCTGACCATGTCGCTGGGTATTGGAGGAGTGATCTTGCCGTGGCACCCGACCTTTAACCGGGCGGATATGGCGTGGGCGCGCGTGGCCTTTTACGTATCGCTAGCGCTGACGGGATTCGCGCCGTTGGCCCAGCTGACGTACACGCGTGGACTCGCCTGGTGCTTGTATTTCTACGCACCCGTGGTGAAGAGCATCATGGTGTACTTCGTGGGAGCGTGTGTGTATGCGTCGCAGGTGCCGGAGCGCTGGCGACCAGGATTGTTCGATTATGTGGGTGGCAGTCACAACATCTGGCATTTGGCCGTCCTTGGAGGGATCTTGTTCCACTACTGCGCGATGCAGGATCTGTTCGCGGGAGCGTTCCAACGGGCGCAGGGCGAGTGCCCGAACCTGGCCAAGTAGGGGGTAGATGGGTAGTAAAAGGGGTGTAGATGGTGTATAGACATAGAAGTACTCTGTAGATGGAGGTTGTATTGTGGATGTCTCATTCTTGTACATACATTTGGGGAGAGAGATAGCGGACATAGATTCTTTCCTATACTGTCAATATTTCCGACCACATATTGCCAACGTTCTTCTCTGTTAGCATCTGCTAACAACCCCCTCATTCCTCACCAATCAGTAAGTGCCCGTCTAATCTATCGTAAATAGTTTGGATGACGGCGTTGCAAAACGAGCAAGTCAACCACGGGAGAAGGGCCCATCCATTACATTTGCAGCGACGGGATTGGACGGGAAGTAATGATATAATGGGTCTGGAGGAAGACGACTAAGAGATAATTGTGGATGACAGTTGGTTCAACGAGATAAAAGAGATCCTCAATCAGCACTAGAGAGCTACTACTAACCCCTCCATGTCTTGATTCACTGATGGGGGCTAAAACAGATTACTGTTGAACATATATAAACTGAATATCGCCACCACAACCACTCACCACTCACCACCCATACCACCCTCCCAATTACCACCACCACTGTCACCACCAACTCACCCCCAAAAGAACCAAAAGATACTAGTAATTGAAGAGAAAATGTTCCTCGCCTCCCTCCCCCCCAATACCCCAATCACCGTCACCATAACCGGCACGAACCCACACACCCCACCCAATCTCACAACCACTCTGACCACACTCTTCGCCTCCGCCCTATCCGACTCTCTCTGCGCCCATACCGAAACCCTCCACCAGCACCATACCACCAATAGTACCATCCACTTAACCTACTGGAGCACAGAAAACTACAAAACATGGCTTACCTCCCCAACCGTCTCCACATTCTTTTCCTCCCTCAACAACAATGATCCTGCTGAAGCACCAGCAGCAGGAATCTACCACGAAACCCTAACCATCCAACCCTCCCGCATCCAAGGCGCCACGAACCACCCCGTCCCCTCGGGATGTATGCACCTGGGGACGATAGATCTCAAGCCCGAGTTATCGGGGTATTGGGGGTGTTATCCGGATCGGATTGGGGAGAAGAGTATTAGATCGAAGATTACTAGGGAGGATATTAGTGCTGTTATTGCTGAAAGCAAAGCTGATAACCAAGAAAAAGAAGGGGAAAAGATCCTCCCCTACAAACAAACCATAACGCACATCCCCGATAACATCTGCTTCGTGGTCGAAGGTCAAGATCACTCTGCTGCATCTGCAGAGGAACGTACGTACTGGGCTGAACACTTCGATTCCCTGTCGCAGGAGTGGGTGGGCCAGGTGCTAGGTGCGGGATTACCGGGGGGTGTGGTTTCTTCTAGGGGATGTTATAACCCCTCTGTGGAGAGTACTATCATCCCTACCTCTAATTCTACTGCTGAGGAGGGGAAGAAGAGGAGGTATCCGTTGACGCTGGGACGGGATGTACAGTTGCTTTACTTTGTGGATTTGCAGTATATGGAGACGTTGGGGAGGAAGAGTGCGGAGCATGTTAAGCTTAGGAAGGCGTTTATGGAGGCGTATGGGCCTGGAGGTGTGCTGTTTGGAGGGGGGTTGAAGTTGTGGGTTGAGACGGCGGTGTTGAGGGATGGGGATTTCTTGGGCGAGTATTGGGGGTGTGTGCAGGGGACGGGGTTGTTGGGGGTTAAGGGGGTGTTGGGGGTTGAGTGATTATGATTCTGTGGGAATGGATGTGTGTATGCAATGGGAGTGTTGGTAGTAGGCTGTTGTTGAGATTGGTGGGTGGTGTTGTGAGGTTTGTGTGTTAGGTCTATGTTTGGGGTCATTCTTGGTCTGTATGATATCAAGGTTGGGTAGGGGTTAGGAGCTGGTGTACACTTGATGACGAGTATAACAGTGTCTACTCATCTAATGAAAGTAAGCTTGTTTAACCTCTTGTTATTATTGTCTCTGTACCTCTTCTACTATCAAGAAGACCATGCAATATCGCTTACTGCAACAAGATGCAGGCTTACGTGGACTTGACTCAAATAACTATACATAGTAGACATGATCTACGACTGCATCCACCATGTCAAATTATACAATGTCTTCAATTGGAACGAAGATATTCTATCACACATCCACGAAGATTGTCTGATGACTACAACCTGCTTCAAGCAGACTCACTGCACAGATTTGAGATATCTCACATCCATCACCTGTAGTGTAATCAACAAGTATCTGTCATGACTGCGCCATGGAATGCACACACAGATCCATACTTAGTAGCAATACGTAATCACTGCTGGTCATAATCTCAGCACATGAACAGGTATCTAGCAACCATGATCTTCCAACCCCATCTTTCGCAAGAACACCCACCTCGCGTGTACATCCCGCAAAGCATGATCCATCCTTGCGTCGCATGACCTCTGCATTACGAGGTGATCATGTCTCCACAACTGAGATACCTTCGCTTCAATGTGCGGAACTGCACTCCCCATGCCAAGGTGCACTGCATCATGTTTGCCCACGCTACCTGACATCGAGCGAGTCAGAATATCCCGCTCTGCTTCGAAACCTGTTTTCGAGACGAGGTTTAGCACTGCAGATACCGGAGAGTGCCCGAGAATAGACCAACCGCTGCAAAGATACTGCCCTCGTCCATAGAACAAGGACAGATGTGACAACATGCATATTCTTGTTTTCACCCGGTCATTAACCGCGCCACATAGGTGACGTTGCTGCTGCCACTCGCCTCGGAGATGTAAGTGTAGATCTCAACGCCTCGACGCCACGTCCATCCCTCGCTGGTTGCCTTCGGTTGCCTTGGCCTTGCTCGGGTCTGGCGGTGGGATGCTGCCGTTATTGCCATGTGGATTTGGTAGCCTCGGGATAGTTAACCCAGATAATGGGAACCATAAGGCTGATCGCGGCATATTTCAGTCTATAGATTCTGTAGTTGCATTACATGCAATGTTAGAGGCTATTGCTGGCCAACTTACTAGATCATGTTGTCTACGAAGATCCTATGCAAGAAGCGCAATTGAGAAAAAAAAAAAAAGAATACTCTCGTGATGAACATGATCCTCGTATAAGCCACCATGTTGGGTTCCCCACGAGGATCACGAACAGGTAGATAGTATATCCACTTTACGCAGGGATCACCCGGAAGCGAAGGCTTAAGCTTCCATGTGCCGTGTTCTTAGCCGATTGTTATGCCGTCTTCCTTGTCAGCTGGTCTTCTGTTACTGCTATTGGCCTTGGTGCTCTTTCTGCTGTTCCACTTCATCACATCTGGTCATTCTGCTGGTTCATGCAGGTGTCCGCCACACTCCTCGCTTCGTTCAGGCGATGTTTCAGCTATCAGCTGCGTCGAACCTAGACAGTTCCACTTCAGCAGCATGATCACACGCCAGATCTCCACGCATGAACTGTGCAGCACCCGGTGGAATAAGCACTTCTCAATCACACATGTTGTACTTCTTCAAGACATACACGTCCCAGTTGGCCTATTCACCATTAGTAACGCTCACCAAAAGCAGCATACCTTGAATAACATGATAGGACTACAATTATAATCACATAGGCAGCAAGAATGGCAACCAGTATCCAAGAGCGTACTAACTTGGATTCAGCTCGTAACGCTTGGTGCACAAGCAAGGACCATCAGTGTCCCACCTGCTATGTAGAGATGGGCTTTCTCGACGTGTGCTCGTCTAGCTTGCTGAAAGCAGCCATAGCAGACGCATTTCCACGTCGTATTAGCGGTCCCCACGATCCCACTACTCAAGGATCACAGAATCGACCTCGTACTTAGATTCTGATCGCACATCAAGTCGCAGTCGATGGCAAACACTAGTCCTCCGTAGCAGATTCTGTTGCCTTACCAAATATTGGGCAACAGCAGTGTTTCAAGTGTCTGGCATCAAACGTCTTTCCTTAGTCTCGGCTGTTTTGGGCCTTGGCAAACATGTAAACTGATATGAACCTGTTCGTACCAAGATTTGTCACATATCCTGGAGCCATGCATGCATGATAGAGACATGCCAACGCCATATCATGGCAATGCACTTACGCGCATGTATAAACGCAAATGACTCATTCCGTGTCGCGGCTTGAGCCGACATCCAAAGGCCCAGCCTCGTGTAGCACTCCGGCCGAGCATACCTTGCTTAGCGACATAATCCAGGGATTTGACGGGAGCGATACGAATTTGTAGCAAATCCCGAAAGCCGAAAGGGTGTATGTCGCTTCCGTGTAACGCTCAGAGACTACTAGTTTTATGGTACCTGAGAACTAGTCAGGGGACCCGTAGCTTCCGAAGAGCTCCTGCGTAGAGGGTCCTAGTTTGGACGTATCGCTCGGTGAGGAGGATTTGACGCGGATCCCTGCCGAGGTCGTCCATGCCCGAGCATACCTCGAAAAAAAGGGAGAGAGAAAAAGCAACGGTCCTTGGCTTGTTGACGAATGCCAACTGAATGACGGAGAACGCCGGACCACCATTATTCACATTTCCGATGAAGGCCTCATCAGCTGCTAGCGTCACCTCGTTCCTGCAATCCTGCTAGTTGACGTAACTAACTTCTGGCGGGTGTTTCAGCTGTCCTGCGCGTGAATGGCGACTGCTTGTCATGCTAATTTTGTGGCGGCCGGAAGGGGCTGTACAGGGAAAAGAGTTACGCCGAAGAACAGGGGTAACATAGGGGAGGGAACTCTCAATTCCCCGGAATTTCCGTCAACTTGTTTCATAGTTTCATCACACTATGCCTTAGGCTTCAGCTGAAGGGAGGATCAGCGACGTGCAGTTGCGGCGAAGATCTTTGCCGCTTTGGCTGCGAACACCAGATCTCACAGCCTGCGCAAGACACTAGGTCAAGGGCGCAGTTAGCTTGGATTCCTACGAATCTCTCTTCTTCTGGTCCCGTAATTTTAAGGCTCGGCCGCTGCCATAGTTCGGCTCGGTTCGAGACATGGCAGCTCTGACCAGCGGTCCACGCGGAAAGGCATGCTTGGCTGGTCCAGTTTGATTAATCTCTTATCTCTTTGCTTTTTGTTCGTGGTTTTATAACCTTGTCACTTACTTTTCGAAAAGGTCCGGTGTTGGACGAGGCCATGGATCTTTGAATGAAGCAAATGAAGTCATCCTTGGACTCGGTAAGCTCTAGTGAGTACCTGCTATCCATGCCGGACAGCCAGCCAAGGGTGGTCCATGCGGGTTTGCGCACCGGCTTTCTTACCGAATAGAAGCAGCGATGTGAAAGATAAGGTTGCTGGAGCTAGGAGCTTGGACCAAGCGTGCCTTGCAGGCGCGCAGTGAAACCAGCCAACCCGTGTCCGCGACCAGGGGAAAAGAAAAGTAAAAAATTATTGACAGTATTATTTACTCGGCTCTTCAATAAATTCGTATCCTCACCCAGTTTTGCGGCCGAGCCCGGTTGAACTCGCATTACCCGGAATGCAGGTCCGTTTTCAGGCCGTGTGAATCAATAGCACTGGAGGTGTTTCCTGATGGATACCTTCCCCCGCGGAATGGCGTGGAGACTGACCGTTTCTGGGTCATAATCTGCCAGCGGAGAAGCCCGAGCCCGCAAGGGCGCTGGCATATTCGGGGGGAGCGAAAAATAAACCAGAACGGCATCAGTCGGCGTTGTCTGTAGATAGTAGGAGACAATAGCGCAACGCTTTGTGAGTGAGACCTCTGGAGGAGCCCCTTTTCGGAATGCTTTCTCCGAGGATCCCTGAGATGGCCAACCGCCGTTCACTCCTCCATTGCTCCGTTAGCCGTTCATAGTCACTTTAGCTTGTGCAACGGACCCGGCGTTCTGGTAAGCCATGCGAAGGAGGCAGCCGGACTTACACCAACTCGGCGAATCTAACGTTAGTTGCCAAATAGGAATGATTAGGTCCGTGGATTGACGCAGGGTACTTTCGCCGCTACTCCGTAGTTTGCCATTATTTACGGTAGTGCCATCACGATCCGTGATTGACCAGGCCAAATTTAGAAAGCGACAATTGCTTTTGGGGGGCGCATCCTCATTTCTTATCGCGCGGGCGTGGATATCCCCTTTTTTGACTGGTCTAAAGGCCAGGAAAAAGCAAATCTGACAGAGCACTGGCCAGCAGCAATCTTTTAAGGAGAACGAGGCTTGGCTTAGCATGCTCCTTTTCAGCAAGTACATAGTTGATCGTTTGATTAAAGGGACAACCCCTCAATCAAGCTGACCGAGGTCAGCAGTGCCGGCTGGCTGTGACAAGCAGGTATGTGAACGCCTCCGGATAAAGATCGGGGGTTGTTCAATAATCCCTGTTGAAGCTCTGCTAATTTTGGAGTTTTGTCGACAGGGCGAGGAGAACCAGCAAAACTGATGTTACGTCCTTTGATGGAGCGAGGACTGCTCTCGTATCGTAATTAATGGTTCAAGGAATGGGGTGAGGCTTTCCATAGCTAGCTCTTGATGTCCTTCGCTGCCCAACTTGGAGATTTGTATGCTGTTGAAAGATGACATTGTCACCTGCAGCTTTCGTAGTGACTGCCACTGAATGCAATAATGCCGTTGATTCTTCGGAGACCGCAGAACCGTTAGTGGATAGTGTCGCCAATCCTAGCTGAATACAGTAAGAACCAAGGAACCTGAAAAGCAAAAGAAATTATCGAGATGCAGAAGCGTGGGTTAGAGAAAACGAAGCCCAAAGCCCGTCTATCCCCTGGGGCAGTGCGTGATCGCTTGGATGGGATCGACCACGTTTTGTCCACATCGGTGAGGTCTCAGGCGATCCTTCAAACGGTCTGCCTTCGATCCTTTCTTCGTTTGGCTGCTCACTCCCCCTCCCCCCCCCATCTCTTTTCCGAGAAAGGATGGGTCTTGACCATGACATAGCGCGAGTGCGAAAAGGGAGTAGGCTGGCGGCCAAAGGGGGATCGGGGGCAGTGGTCTAGATTTCTGGCAAGCTTTCAATCGTGGGCAGAGCAAGCTGATTTGGGCGTTTCAGCCCTCAAAGCCCCTATCCGATGACGACTGCCGTTGAACATCCGCTATGACCAGTTTGGTTTGGTAGTGGACTTTAGACCCAAGACGCATACCGAATGACCGGTTATGGTGTTTCTCGGCTCATGTGCCCGATGTAGGCCATGCTGATGATCGTTCATGGGTTCCCCAGAATGTCCTTACTGTATCCAATGGTTCATGAACCGGGCCTTGGGTCACACATTTCACCCTAGTGCTTACCCTGGCAATCATCGCCTCCAATTTTCTAGGGATTGGGGTGAATGTGACTAAATTCGTCTATCGGGTCAATGGGCTGATTCTCGGCAAACCCTAGATCGAGGATGTGCAGCTATCCGAACTTGCAGGGCAGAGTCTCATCTCGATCAGTGGCTGATCTTGACTAGACAGCCCAACCGTTCCTTGAAAGTAGCCTAGTTAGTCAGAGATACACTACTCCGAGGCACTATCCCACCGAAGATCTTTATCTGCCTGTGTCACTTACTGGCTTCTTTCCTACCATTTCCCTTCACACTCCGGACCCATTTTCGGATTTTCCAATCTCATCGTTTCCCTCCACGTCTGTGGCAGTCCAGCTTTTTTTGGACGCTCCCAAGGCATCTACTTATTCTTGTATCACATTCTCGGTTTCAGTCGTCAGCAACAGCGAGGCTTGGAATATAGCCGGGGCCGTTGAAAGGTATATAGGGACAGGTCTCTCCTCGCCGTTTGGTCAGAACTCACCAACGAATCCAAAGCCAAACAAGCCTTCTCATCCACTCAAGTTTTCCATCTGCGACCAAGAGACTTCTCTCTTCATACCCAATCAAAGTCCATCACGCACGATCGTCTGTCCAAACTCTCTCAAATCTTTCCACACAAGCTCTTCCTCTGAGTTCACGGGACTATTATCCAAACTTCATTAATCATGTCTGGAAACGCTCATACCTCCAAGTAAGCTTCCATCGATCACCTCTTCAAATCCTGTTGATACTCACACACTTGCAGGTCCGCCAACGGCATGGGCAGCAGCCTCAGTGCAGGAAACCTGAGTCACATCCCGGATGGCAGCAGCGGCAGCATGGAACGCTTTTCGCAGTCGTCCGCGGCGGAAGCACCTTACTATGCCCGGGCACGAATGGGAGAACGCTCTGATCATGTGTCGCGTCTCTCAAGCCAGCTCGACGCGACAGAACAGATCTTGAAAAAATGAGCGAAAATCAAAAAAAGAAAAACGAAAGAAAAAGCAAGATACAAACGCGAAAGAATAAAAGCGCTATGAGAGACGACCTTTTTTGCGAGTCGCTTTGAGGAGACTGGGAAGTAGACGATATGCTGCCTGGGTTGCGGGGAAACGGGCAGGCGGAAGGAAGTGAAGGTGAAAATGGAGGACGACGAAGACAAAACGACCAGTTTGGCCAGGCAGGCGCTATACCCAAACAGGAGCCAATTGCTCCAACGCTGGACCGGAAAGAGGAAGGGAAAGTTGATATAGAGGTCCTATAGTTACCAGCTGGCGGCGTAACACGCGCCGCGGTCTATCCTTGACAATGCAGATACCCAGTCTCCTATGTTTTAACCACTCCTTTTATCCAAGTTATCGCACAGATATTGCATGATTCAACATACTGAAGTGTGTCAATAACCAAGTAAAAGTGGAGTTATGTGGCATCTAAATTATCGCTGGATAAAACTAGGCATTTGCTCTAAATGGAAATGGCAATGTGGGCCAACATGAGAAAGATGGGAAGCAACAATCCAAAACAGGAAAGTCTAACAAAAAATTCCACTCCAAAATGTCTATAAAGAAAGTAAATCAAAGTCAATGATCAGCATCGTAGGATGATTCCTTGCAGGGTCCTCAGTGCATAAACTCCATCACATATTGGGCCACTTCTTCATATTTGGTACTTGGGAACTCGTGGCCTGCGTTGAAGAATTTGAAGCTTGCATGCCCTTGAAGTGCCGACGTTGCATCAGGGACAAGCTCTTTCTTGACGATGACAGCATCATGGTCCCCGCACATGATCAGTACCTTATCACTTGGTAGGCCATTCAAACGCTGTTCGTCGATCGGGAGATCATTTTGTGCCGATAGATGCCTTCCAAGACGTTCCCAAGTCTCGCGCTGGCGTTGCTGCAGAATCGGTCCATGTCGCATACTGGACATGAAAGCATGCACGAACCCAGCATGCTCACCCACTTGCCATTGGACCGCACTGGGAACATTGACATGAGAGTACGTCCGAGATAGCTGCTGGACTTGTGCCGCACCCTGTGTTGGCAGCTCCTCGGCGAGCGCATCCTCAGCGGTAAGCTTACGGGCCTTCGGCTTCGGGGTAGTCAACGGGCCTGCGCGGAGGCGGCGTCCAACCAAGAAGCCAAGCACACGTTCCGGAACAAGACCCCGGGAGTAAAGGAGACGTGACTGGAAACTGATCTGGGAGTCACGAATCAAGCCTGCGGGTGCAAGTAGCACCAACGAAGAGAGAAATTGGGGGAAATATGCTGCAAAGGAAGCAGCTATGCCACCACCCAATGAGTAACCCACGAGGCAGAATCTACCTGAACCGGCTCCAGTCCAAGAAAGTGACGATGAGCTTAGGGCGAGAAGGATTTGAGTAGAGAACAGTCTGTTGTCCTGTGGAATGTCAGACGGGCAATCGGAGTAGCCTCTGCCGAACCTGTTCAGGCATATTAGTGATAATTCCTCTTCATCATAAGCGAGTCACCTACAGGTCAAACAGCATGACCCGGCAGCCCCGGTCAACCAAGGCATGGGCCAGCCCCCCAAGTGCAATACACGGAGTGGTTATCCCGTGAACTAGGAGAACCTTAGGTCCATCTTCTGGGCCCCATTCATACACACGGATAGATCCATACGGCGTAGAGACATCCCGGGCTCCCGGGAGTACGTCCGTGGGCAGCGGAAGCTCACGGTTCACTGAATCGGACACGGACAGGACTTTCTTGCGCGGGGACTCAAGCACTGTGTTTTCCTGTTGTGGGTCTGAAAGCAGTGATCGAAACAAGAGACCCAAAGTGAACGAGGCCCCTGTGACGGCGAGCAGGGGAAGTTGGCTTCGGCTGGTCCCCAGCGAATCGGAGAAGGATTCGATAGTCTGGCTGTACCACGCCATGTTCTATCGTCTATTGTGACTGTCTATTGTATGATCTTTAGTCTACACGAGAAACCAGGAGTGGAAGTAAATGGATGCAAGCCAGATTAATCCTGACCGGTGAAACAGACGAACGAGGGGGAAGCGACCGGCGAGGTTGGGCGGTTGGCCTGAGGATACACCATCTCCAGTTGGGAAAAGTCATCCGATAAGCGATAAGCGGGTGATAAGAAACTGCCGAGGCTCATGACTAGTTAGGCATCACAGGGAATACCATTGTGTCCTCTCCTCTTCCTAGTTCAGATGAATGATTAATCATATCCTCCCCTTCATTTCCTATGATCTGGATCTGACTACATGAGTACATATTGTACGGACAGTGGAATATGCGAGATCTGTCTATGCTAGGAAATGTCAGTTCCACCGTTGGTACTAGTTCTAAACACAACGATAGTAACTAAGTATATATTTCTGCTGCACAAGTTAAAAGCATGATCATGGCAATCTGCTCACCCGACACTACAGATATCCTCACCCATATGCAGACAAAGGCCTTGTCTGAAGTACTACTAGTAGCAAGACTGTCTGTTATGGGTTAAACGTCAATGCAGTCGCTGCATGATCAATCCAAGCAAGGCAGTACAATCTTGGCATCTACGCCATGTATGTCGCGGAGAATCACTCCGCGCCCTCCTCAAATTCAAGCCGGCTAAATAGCAACCGTTGGATCTTGTTGGCTTGCACGCCTCCGAACGTAATCGGGAAGCGATCTGCAAGGTACAGCGCCATATCGTGGCTTCCGTCGGCTTTGTCGGATGTCTGTGTGTGAGCTCACTACAGTGGTTCGATTTACAGGTGACACGGCCCAGTTAGTATTACCACGTTAGGTACAAAACCAGGCAAATGAAAGGGCGATGGCGTCTGGGGAAACACCTTACGTTATGAACAAATGGAAATTCGATATGAATAACTGTGGTGAAACATTCGTCTGTCGGAGATGTTAACCGCCCTGTTTAAGCCGGTAAGGCGGCATCTACCGGGAGCAAAGACCAAAACATTTCTTGGTTTGACGTTGATTACCCCATCCAAGTCTACTATTACCGGCTTGGATATATCAATTTCAGCCTAGCTACCTGCATAAAATTTGAATCATTTTGGCACCCACTCGAGCTGTCATTGATGGGATGTAGCACCCCGCATTCCGAGATCGACAAGGCTAAAAGAGGACCCTGGAAATTAATCAACCCTTCATCAGGATTTGAGATGAATCGGAGTTGGCTGTCACCCAAACAACGCCACACGCTGCCACATCTTCATTAACCCAGCGGCTACATGGGACGCCGTTGCCTCCGTATTTCCCAAATGGGACTGCGAATGGCCTTTGTTAATCGATGCGGCTAATAGATGACAGGGTTTGTGATTTGAAGATACTCTAAGTATCGGAGAAGAAAAACAGCAACGGAATGGACTGCCTGATCGCTGCCATTTGCTAGTGTTGGTTATGATATTCTGCGAGATACCCTAGAGCATCTCCTCGGCAAGGCTCCTACACCCGAGTAAAGGGCCCTAAAACCTGTCTATCGCAGAGCTTCACTAAGTTGGCATGTGAGGCAGATTCTCTCTACATGCATGGCTTTGAATAGGCCACACATGACATAAACAGCCTTCATTGGAAAAGACCATAATGCTTCATTACACACAGGGAACAGAAACAACTCGGAGGGCCCTCCGTGAATCCCTGAAACTCCATGAACCAATAAGGCACAGCGGTAGCCAAGCAGCCTGATATACTCCATCCTGGTGATAGAATCTGGGCCCACTCTCGGACACACCTCAATACGCAGAGCCATCTTTCTGCAACACAGCACTCTATTATCGTGCATTCTTCATTTCACGGCACATAAGGCCTTGCCTAATTTGAAACATCGACGGACTGACGGTCCGCTGCACCGGCAAAAATGGGAGACCCTATTCTTCCGGATCGCACGGAGGTATGAGACCGAATGCTGGCTGGGATGTTATAAATGGGGAGGTTATCCCGCTGTACAGCTTGGAAATCACATCTGCCGGACAGACAACAGAATCACTGAAAGAAGGAGACGACTCGAGTCTTATACAATCTCATTGCAATGCATCAACGCGCCCTTCTCTTTTTGACCCTGCTGACGGCCGTTCGTGCCCAGCAAGCCGGAACGCTCACGGAGGAAGTCCATCCTTCCTTGACCTGGCAGAAGTGCACTTCTGAAGGCAGTTGCACGGGACAGAGTGGCTCGGTTGTCATCGACTCAAACTGGCGCTGGACCCATTCTGTCAATGATAGCACCAATTGCTACACTGGCAACACCGTGAGTTTGACTGGCACCTATGTGCTGCACTGGCTGACGCACATCACAGTGGGATTCAACTCTCTGCCCTGACGATAAAACCTGTGCGACCAACTGCGCCCTGGACGGAGCAGACTACGAGTCCACCTACGGTATCACCACTGACGGCGATTCATTGACACTGAAATTCGTCACTGGTTCCAATGTTGGCTCGCGTGTGTATCTCATGGACACGAGTGACGAGAAATACCAGACGTTCGACTTGCTTGACGCAGAGTTCACTTTTGACGTCGATGTGTCTAACCTCCCATGTGGATTGAATGGCGCGCTGTACTTCACTGCAATGGACGCCGATGGTGGCACCTCAAGGTACACTGCAAACAAGGCCGGAGCCAAGTACGGGACAGGATACTGTGACTCCCAATGTCCGCGAGACCTCAAGTTCATCAACGGAGAAGTATGTAGTCCTTGAAAGCCTCCTCAAAGCTTATATGCTAACCTGAACCAGGCCAACGTCGATGGCTGGAAACCTTCTAGCAACAATGACAACACAGGTATCGGCAACCACGGTTCTTGCTGCCCTGAAATGGATATCTGGGAAGCCAATAAGATCTCGACCGCATTGACACCCCATCCCTGCGACAGCAGCAGCCAGACCATGTGTGAGGGTAACAACTGCGGTGGAACGTACTCGGATGATCGCTACGGAGGTACGAGTACCTAGATAAAAGCTCGAGCTGGATGTTTCGGCTAATCCAATCACAGGAACCTGCGACCCTGACGGCTGCGACTTCAACCCCTATCGCATGGGCAACGAATCTTTCTACGGTGCTGGCAAGATCGTTGACACCGGATCCAAGATGACGGTTGTGACCCAATTCATCACTGATGGCTCCAGCTCTCTCAGCGAGATCAAGCGTTACTACGTGCAGAACGGAAAAGTTATTGCGAACGCCGAGTCCAGCATCTCTGGAGTGACCGGAAACTCGATCACAACGGACTTCTGCACTGCGCAGAAGAAGGCCTTTGGCGACGACGATGTGTTCGCTGCACACAATGGACTTGCTGGAATCAGTGATGCCATGTCTTCCATGGTTCTGATCTTGAGCTTGTGGGATGATTACTATGCCAGCATGGAGTGGCTCGACAGTGACTATCCTGAGAACGCCACCGCTACCGACCCAGGTGTTGCACGCGGAACATGCGACTCGGAGTCGGGCGTCCCTGCCACAGTCGAGGGGGCGCACCCTGATGCTTCGGTGACCTTTTCGAACATCAAGTTCGGTCCCATCAACTCGACCTTCAGCGCTTCCGCATAAGCTGAAGCGCTGGGCTCAGAGCCTCAACTACTCCCCCAAGCCGGACATAGCAGGACAGGTTCCTGAAAGGGGATATGGGAGATTTGAGGCTTGTAACTAGTCCGAAAAGTGGCCACTGCTTTTGTATATCGGGCTGCCTTCCGTTTACTTTTCGTTCACTCCGGATTGACTGATGCAGACTTTGTTTCTTTTTTTTTCTTGTTTTCCTCCAATTCATGTTGAAACTTTTGTACTTCACTTCACATTCGCTTATTTTGTGTTTTGAGTCCACTCAATTCTAGAGACACTTATTTTTTGCTAGTCCCGACCTAATCAGCCCTGCATAGATAGCAAACTGATAAAGTAGCCTTAAGCCTAAACTCTATAACCAACCGACCCCGGAAGATCCGTCGGCCCGCTCACTCCGAGACTGATCGGCTCCGCCAGCCTGCAGCTGCAAGCTCCGCCAGTCAAAAAAACTGCGGCATAGGTTCGCCCTCGTGCAATTGCTCATTCCCCGCAATGTTCGACACCGTCTGCACCCTTCCGCTATCAGCGGACCTGTTCTCCCAGGCCCTGCACCCCAAGGAGCCCGTTGTGTCCGTGGGTCTCTCCTCCGGCCACGTCCAAACATTCCGACTCCCCACCGACGAAGCGGCCAGCGACGACGACGAGACGTCGAATGCCTCGTCACGCAATGGCAGAGGACACATTGATACGATGTGGCGGACGAGACGCCACAAGGGTAGCTGTCGGTGCTTGACGTTCGGAATTGATGGCGAGACGCTCTACTCGGCCGGAACGGACGGACTGATCAAGGCCGCGAAGGCGGAGACGGGTGTTGTGGAAAACAAGATTGCTATTCCTACGATGAAGAATGGGTAGGATATGAATCACCTTCCATATGTGGTTGGATGGGGACTCAATGGCTCATTGTATTCGCTTCTAGATCCATCGATGCTCCCACTATCATTCATGCGCTTTCCCCTCAGACTCTCCTTCTTGCGACCGATTCCAGCGCCCTCCACCTCTACGATCTCCGCATACCCTACTCCAAGGTTTCCGCAAAGCCTGAACAATCTCATCACCCCCATGACGACTACGTTTCGTCGCTTACGCCTCTTCCGGCCTCCGATACCAGTACCTCGGGGTTCAGCAAGCAATGGGTGACCACGGGTGGTACGACCCTGGCAGTTACGGATCTGCGACGGGGTGTGCTTGTTCGCAGTGAGGATCAGGAGGAGGAGTTGATCAGTTCGACGTATATTGGCGGGCTGGCAGCCAGTGGCACGAGTCGCGGCGAGAAGGTGCTTGTGGGAGGTTCTAGCGGTGTTCTTACGCTCTGGGAAAAGGGCGCGTGGGATGACCAGGACGAGCGGATCTATGTGGAGCGTGGAGATGGTGGTGGAGAGTCCCTCGAGACCATGGCTGTTCTGCCGGATGAATTGGGCAAGGGCAAGGTGGTTGCTGTTGGCCTGGGCAGTGGTAAAGTCAAGTTCGTGCGGATCGGCCCTAATAAGGTCGCCTCGGAGGTTATGCATGATGAGACTGAGGGCGTGGTTGGCCTGGGCTTTGACGTTGAGGGGCGCATGGTCACTGGTGGTGGACAGGTGGTGAAGGTTTGGCATGAGGCTGTTGTTGGTGCTGATAGGTACGGGGCGATGCCCGGGGAGAAGCGCATGTATGGCGACAGTGACGATAGCGATGAAGGTGATGACAGCGATGACGACTCGGATGATAGCGACGCCGGCGGCCGCCAGGAAAAGGCACAGAACAAGCGCAAGAAGACGAAAGCCAAGGGCAAGGGTGGACAGCAAATCATGGCTTTCGCTGACTTGGATTAACTGGAATCGAATGTGGTTTATTGATACCCTAAGCGGGAGGTTATGCATAGCATTGGTGTCGGGAAAACAAAACTGGGAGTGTGCTTTGCAAATACGTACTCAATGATGCTAATATCTCTAGATGATCAGCCATTAGTGTGACCCAGCCTATCTAAATAGTGTTTCACATTGTAGCCGAGCAGAACTAGTGTATCTCGCAATACAATATTGCTCCAACCGCATGAAATCCAGGCACAAAGAACTGCGGTTGCACACAGCCTTGTCGGCTTCTAGTTCAAGGCTAGCAGCTTCAACTGTCCAGGATCAGCAGCTGTATTAGACTGTCTTGGCAGCAGGGGAAAGCAACATAAAGAATGATAATAAGCGCCAACCAGCCCATAAACCATCTCACATAAGCCATTGTACCCCATACCCTTCCATCACCATCATACATCACTCCACCGCAATGCCAGGAACCATCCTCCTCACCGGAGCCAACAGCTCTCTTGCCATCCCAGCAGTCCATCACTTCCTCACTCAATATCCAGACTACACTCTCGTCCTCACCGTCCGCAACCCTTCCACTTCGGACCCCAACACCAAGCGTCTCAACGACACCATCACGCCCTTCTTCAATCCAAGCACCTCAATCCGAAAACTAGACCTCTCCAATCTCTCCGAGGTGGCCGCATTCGCGCAGACCTTAGCCACTGAAATCACCAATGGCACACTGCCCCCTTTAGCAAGCATCATCTGCAACGCATACTACTGGAACCTAGCTAGCGAGCTCGAAACAACTGCCGATGAGCTGGATAAGACCTTTCAGGTGAACCATATTGCTCACGCCTCGCTAGTACTGCGTCTGCTAGGTTCATTCGGACCAAACTCTGGACGGGTTATTCTCTTCGGTAGTGATGCCCATTGGCCCGGAAAAAATGGATTGGAGAAGTATCCGCCTACCATTCCGGAGGATCTGGATGTGCTGGTGAAGCCGACGAAGAAGGCGGACGAGGATGTTAGGGGGAAGGGGTTCTATCAGTATGCGGTGTCAAAGTTGGCGATTATTATGTGGATGTATGCGCTGAATGGGCAGTTGATTCAGGTATTATCTTGCTTCCTTGCAGTCTTCTGGATATTCAAAACCGAGTATACTGACATCGGGATTAACATCAGGATGACAATCTAAAGCACATCAAGGCTGTAGCTATCAACCCAGGCAACCTGAGTGATTCTCGCGCGCTGCGCACCAACAC